AACCCCAGCCGGCAACTAAGCACCCACCCAGCCCTCGCTCACCACCATCCGCCTCTGAACAGGGGAGAGAATCGGAAGAGCAAAGCGGGAAAACTCATATGTTGAGATAAGAACAGTTTAATTCTTGAAATAGTAGAACAATAACTTAAAAAAAATTGTAATGGAAAGTAAAACAAAGAGAGAAACCAAAAAACCTAGGGCAAGAAAAAAAATTGATGCAACCACTCGCCATCTGCCGACCAACGCCCAGATAGTCCCTGAGCAGCGATCGCTGCCCTCCTGCTAGCTTTCCCCAAGTTTATATGCTGAGCATGACGGCATATTGTATGGAATATCCCTTTGGGCAGTTTGGGTCAGCTGTCCTGGCTGTGCCCCCTCCCAGCTTCTTGCGCACCTTCTCGCTGGCAGAGCATGGGAAGATGAAAAGTCCTTGACTTAGTAAGACCACTCCTTAGCAACAACTAAAACACGTGTTATCACATTATTCTCATGCTAAATCCAAGACACAGCACTATGCCAGCTACTAGGAAGAAAATTAACTCTATCCCAGCTGAAACCAGGACATCCAGGCATTGAAGGACTCCCCAGTGGAAGGGTATCTTTGGAGCAGAAGCACGCCTCCCTAGTTCTGCTCACTAATGTCATGTTGCCTTTCCAGCCTCGATATGTATCCTCTGATCTGATCCTCCTTTGTCCTCATGGCTTACCTCTCCTCCTCTGACAGATACAGGCTGTCAGCAGCAACAGGATGGGCACAGCAGCCGCAGATGTACATGCAGGTGCCAATGGGATGAATGGAGACGAGCTTTTTTTAGTTAGAGTCTTGAAGGAAAATGAGCAAAAGCAACCCATCAGTAAGAGAACCTCAAGCCATATGTCTACTAAGCCAAGTGTTTCTTCTTTCTGTCCTGGTTTCCTGTGAGAGGAAATGCAATGTTGGGGAATGAGTTTATCTTCCTTCATCTTTGCTCCCTGTTATCTACAGAGTGACGATGAAGCTAGTTTGTCTATGTTTCTCGACACCCTGCCCCACCTCATCCCGTCCTGAAAACTCCATTACTTCTGCAGTCCTGGGGCTCAACCATGCCATCAGAAGGATTCTCCAGCTAACATTCTCTCCTGCAACCATGCTGCAATCCCAGACACAGCCCAGGTGGGGGGGGTTAGTTGTTCAATTACTCTTGTGTCCGTGCCATGGGGCAAGTAACACAGTCCCTGGTGCTTTGGGGGTTTTGGCCAATTGCTCAGATAAGCCAGGGACCATTCCACAGCGGTATCAGGTATGACCACCCTGGCCATACGAGCAGAAGCCATTCTCTGGCCTAGTTGACTTGTTGCTCTAGTCTTTATGTTTCAGGACTATGGTGGTCTAGAGGTGAAAGAGATCATATATAAAGCAGTGTAGACATGTGAGGATGTGAATCCGTCTCAAATGCAACACAAAGGTCCGTCTAGTTTTCCTGGGAATGGTCTTGACCGGAAAAGGCTTGGGTGGCTGCAGGGGCTCATTTTGCATGGTGACCACCATAGCCTGGCTCAGGAGTGACAGGAACCACTTGCCACTGACACTGTCCTTGTACCTGCACATGATTTAGCCCATTGTGGTGTGTTTGGCTGCCAGCATGCCTGAGAGATCAGTTCCTTGTGCAAGTCTGAGAATTGCTCTGCACCATCTTTATAGAAGTAAAGCTTCCATCCATTGCAAGCAAAGAAAATGAACCTCGGTTTTGCCCTAGAGGGATGATGGGAAGCACATTATGGGAATTTACCTCCAAAACCAGACCTGAATTTCATGAGTCTGTAACTGTGTCCACCTATGCTCCTAGACCTTGCTGTAGACCCTGAGAAAAAAACCTTCCTCTTTACAGTAAAAGCCAGAAACTTGTTCTGCATAAGCAGCACCCACTCACTTCCTCCTTGAACCCAGAGTTTATTTCTTGTTTATTCTCAATGGGAATACCAATGAAGCTAGACCTTCAATTTATAGATAAGAAAAATTCAATGCCTATGGAAAAGAGCAAATACATGCTCACCAACGAAACAATTGTACTGAGAAAATACCAACCAGCTCTCCTAAAAGTCCATATCTACACACCGTCTTCTGGTGTATGGAAGGCATTTACAGATAGCTCAGCTTCTCGCTGAAGTTCAGGCAGTTCTGTTTGTACAGCAACAGGGCTCTTGCCCACCATTGTGTTAACTCATGCAACCCACCTGCAATGATTGTTAGGTGAATCAGGCTGGTATGTCCCCAGGTGGAGCACCTGAGATGCTTGAGTCCTTGGGGCAACAGATGTGAGATAGGTTCTCATGAGCCCAGATGTTCACGTCTCCCAAGACAAGAAGGAAATGAGCCACCCCGCACACTCTCCCTACACCCAGGATTGTTACCTGCAGACAACCCACATGCGAAAAATACCTGTACAGAAGATGAAAGACAGAAAAGAGAAAAGTGAGAGATCTGCGGTGGATATAGGCAGTGCTGCAGAAACTGTTGAGAGGGCTGTCAGTTGAGAGGCGAGGCGAGGGCAGGAGGGGAGAGGAGAGGAGAGGAGAGGAGAAGAGAAGAGAAGAGAAGAGAAGAGAAGAGAAGAGAAGAGAAGAGAAGAGAAGAGAAGAGAAGAGAAGAGAAGAGAAGAGAAGAGAAGAGAAGAGAAGAGAAGAGAAGAGAAGAGAAGAGAAGAGAAGAGAAGAGAAGAGAAAAAGTGTGCCCTCCTCATTATTGCTTGAGAAAAGACATTTCATCCTGCCACCTTGCTGCTAGGAAACAGCAAAAGAAAAAAGGAAAAAAATAATTATACTATCTTCTTCACACTCATGGTCAGCTTCAACATTCCAGCAATTTCACTGATGTTGCCTTTGGCCACTGAGATAGCACACTTCACCACTTTCATCTTCCTGGGCCAGTTAAAATGAGAAAACATATTGCTTTAGCTCTTAAATTTTGTGCAGGACAATGGGAAGTGATTCATGAAAAGAATACCACGGACACTGCTTTGGTTCTCCTGGCGGGGAGTGGGTGCACTGAAATTACTGTGCTTGCCCAGTTCCCAGCTGGAACTATTGCATAGCCTCACTGATCCATGGCGGGGGGGGCGGGAAGAAAGAGATACAAGCTCTTTTCAAAACCTTCATATTTATCTGTCTCTGCTATACACAGGAAAGACCCTGGCAAATCCATTTACTTCCCAAAGGAGGGCTCACATCACTAAATTCCCCACGAGCTTTTTGCAGTCAAAGAAGAGAAAGATATACCTTTGCAATTTGTCCTCCCTATCTTTGCAACTTGTACTAATCTCAGTCAGTGCTGGCGACAGTCCCACTTTGGGTGAACAAAACCGCCTTCCCATTTTGTTCAGCTTGGTCCATCTATGCACTTTCAAATGTTCTGTGGATGTTTACATGTCCAAATGCACAAGTGAATTCAGTGCATCGGTGAACACTAAAAATAACCGCTTCCCCTTAGTGCTGTCTGCTGACTGCTGAGTTTTCTGACACAGCTGGATTAAATAGATTTTTACTTCGCAATCCTAAACCTGAGGAACTTCATTCATTCACTGAAACTTCCCCTTCACAGTCAAGGCTTCACGCAGATCTACCCTGGCTTTATTCTATCTTCAATAGTGATTCATCTTTTCTGGTACTATTCTTCTAGAAATTAGTTGTCTGCTTTTTAGGTAGTCATCTCAATGTACAATGTGGACACAAGTCAGACTGTCTGGAGAACTATTATCCATGGCTAAAATCAGGGACTGAGACAGATGTGATGAACAACCTTTAGGA